CAATTATCACTTCATTGTGACTATTTTATTGCGCCTATTATGATTCTTTTATGTCTAGTACCACATTTAATATTTTTTCTATTATTAGTTTGTATACCTCCTGAAATCAGCATCTATTTATATTTACCAGAAATTAACTTATACTTTTATAATTACATTACCCAGAAATAAACTTGATGTCTGGACCAAAGTAAGCTGACCACTCCTGATATATAACAACATCTAAATCCTAGTAGTTTTATATTAAAGTATTTTACATCTCGCTTGCTGGGTTTTGCTACATATTAATTGCTAATAGAATATGCGATTGAAGTTAGACCTATGTATCACGAGTAGATATTTGCAGATATTGTATCTCATGCCAGAACTCTGTTAGACTAAATCTTGGCAGAAGTTTTTCTTCGTACTAATCCTTCAGCATGCACCCACGATATTTTGCATTTACAAAAAGGCAAATATTTGTCAAAAAGGTAAAAGGGTATTACATAGGCGGTCAGTGTTTAAGTAACTACCGCACACCGCTAAGCAAAATGCAATTTTTTTTGTGCACACATTTTATTTAAGACTTGTTTACAATCTTCCAAAATAATTTGCTAAAAGCTCTAATAAAAATCTATCTCCAACTTTATTTTTCTACTTAGAGAACTCATTTTAATGTTCTTTAACTTCTACTTACAGTTGTACAGAATGGCAGAGGATATAGCTCGTTTACAACGTGAAATTAGAGCTTTGTTCGATTTGGAACTGACCAATCGAACATTAACTGCTATTGCTAAATAATCATTATTAAAACTCGTGTTGTACTCCATTTTCCTTTATCATCCATGCAGATGATTTTTCTCTTTTTCTTTTGACTTAGTGGATGAAGATACGATCACTTCTAGGCAGACTCTATCAGTCTTTCAAAGTTTCGTGACTCCTGTCGAACGCTTGTCGAAAGGATCAGACATTGATCAAAATCGTTTAGAATGGATTGAAAATAGACTTAATCATCCACCTCCTACTGATACAAATGAATTAGCGAACTTGTATAACTCAGCGGTCAGCTTAACAAACAATCTTGATAAAAAATTAGACTATTGTTTGCGTCATTTCAAACCGCTTGAAGAGACAGGTCATATGACAGCTACGAAATTTATTCAGCATCATATTCAAATTGGTGACATTTTTTCTGAACAAGTTCGTTTTGACGATGCCTTAATTAATTATCAAATCGCACTGCAAAAAGCACTCGGATCTAAATCAACAACAAATCCTCTGTTCGGTGATTGCTATTATAGAATTGGTTTTACTTCTCTAAAATTAGAAGAGTTTGAAAAAGCATTACAGTATTATAAAAACGCTCTAGCTATTTATTACAGATCACTTCCACCAACACATCTAAGTTTTCATAAAGTATATTTGGCATATGGAGTTTGTCTGGCGAATTTCAATCGTTACGACGAAGCAATGGAATATTTTCAAAAAGCCAAAACTACACACGGACACAGAACCAACTTATCTTGCATGACCATAGACGTATAGTCAATGGAATAAATAAAAGATAATGAAGGTAAAAACGCTTTTTGAAAATGCTGGTTTGATCACTATCGTGCATTAGGTCAAATATCACTACATAGTAATCTGTTTAACTGTTCGAACCAGACCTTTGTTTGATTGATACTGAGAAACACAATGGGAGTTCTTCATTTAGCAACAAGTTCTTTGTTTTGTGCGTTTGATTACATATCCCACTTTTGAATTTGAATAAAACTCTTTCATATAGATTGTTGAAGGATAGATATAAATAATAAATGTAAACACTTGTGGGACATATATTAGCAGGTTGAAAGTGAAATGTAAATATAAATAGATGCTGATTTCAGGAGGTATACAAACTAATAATAGAAAAAATATTAAATGTGGTACTAGACATAAAAGAATCATAATAGGCGCAATAAAATAGTCACAATGAAGTGATAATTG